AAAGTGGATCCTTTAATTGGGCTCCCTGGAACTCAGAATTCTTTGGGTTTGTGAAATTATAAACAGCAGTATATTTATATCAGAATGACTGTGACAGATGACAGATACTTTTTTTATAATGAAAGTATTTTTAAGACTATGAGTGAGGGAGAAATTTGATAACTTGTTTTTGTCCTCACACCCTTATAACTTGCAGGTACACACCTTAATAACTTGTATTTGTATTTTACTGAAATTTGTTTGGTGAGGTTGTCCTTTTAAACTGACAAAACCTCTCAGCTGTCAAACTGCATCAGAGATCTTTGAGAAGGATAAAATTTTACTTGAGTTATTGATTTAGAAAACGGCACCACCACTACCCAGCGGGGTTGAGGGGTGGGGAGGACCACACTTTCTAAACCACAGGAGTTTTAAACATAATAACAAGAGAGGCCTAGAGGCATGATCCTCCCTATTGCCTAGTGGGAGTGGCCACACCACAAGCCACAGAGGAGCCAAGGCTGGAATTGAAAACAGCAGTGTTGGCAAATGCCTTTAATCCCAGCCTCAGGAGGCAGAGGTAGGCGGATCTCTGTGAGTTAGAGGCCAGCCTGGTCTACAAGAGCTAGTTCTAGGACAGGCACCAAAGCTACAGAGAAACCCTGTCTCAAAAAACCAAAAAGGGAGAGTGAGGGTTTATACCATAGCTGAAAATGCGAAAAACCCGCAAACACCGCAGGGTTTGTAGAAGAGCATCCTCTCTCTACAGGCCAGGTGTTAAAGCCTGACTGGCCCTGATCAGGGCAACTCGGAAGCCAGAGACATTTACAGGCACTGACTGCCCTTGCTTTGCAAAAAGGTCTTTTTTCATCGTTACACAATTTATACCTTAGCAAGTCAATTTCTGCAAATCAAATGTTAATTAAAGCAATTCTCAGTCACAAGACCTCTTGGTGTTTCAAGTCCTCCCATGACCAAATTTTGCAAAAGCTTTGAACCCTTCAGGAAGAACTCAGATAAGATTCAAACACACCAAACAAAAGGTAACATCACAGAAGGCAATTGCAGCCCAGGTGGTAACACTCAGGAAATCAAGGCAGATACAATGTAACAATAACACTACAGTATTAGCTAATTATCTTCTGCTGGAATGAAACACCAAGAAAGTTTATTTTGAAATATAACCCCAAAGAGAGTCCATAATGCCAGGGACCCAGCATGGCTATTGGGGCTGGAGGCTGAAAGTTGTGACCTCAAATCTCAACCACGAGAATGAAGCTAGTTGTAAATTGTAAAGGGTAGGCCTGAGGCTCTCAAACCTGGCCCCCCAGTGACAACTTTCTCCATCTTTATTTCTAAACCTCTCCAAACAGCATCAGCAACTGGGAACCAAGTGTTCAAATGCCAGTGACAACAGGGGACATCTCTCATTCACTCAAACCACTATAAGTAATAAGGCTGCTTTAAAAAAAGAAAAGAACAAAAAAAAAAAAAAAAAAAAAAAAAGACCTGGATAAATCCAGATCCCCCTAGCAGGAAAAAATAGAGCCAAAAATCTAAGCAGGGAGGGAAGAATGAGAAATCTAGCTTTAGCTGGTTCAGTGTTTCGGGAACTAGCTGAAGATAAAGTTAGATTGTAATCTTGAATAATCTTGAGAAACAGGGAAGTTTCCCCCCTTGTGATTATCATTAGTATTTTTGGGACACTGTGTTTCAGGAACTAGCTGATTATAATCTTGAATAACCTTGAGGAACAGGGAGTTGCCCCCTGTGACCATCACTGGACCTCCCTACCCCTTTCGGATTACTGGGCTGTGGTTTCTTCCCTTAAAAACCCCTTCTCCCAGCTACTCGGGGTCAAACTCTTCCCCTGTGTGGGTTCTGAGTCTCAGCCCCAGTACACTGGGTCTCGTCTCAATTAAAACCTCATGTGATTGCAGCAAGGACGGTCTCTCGTGAGTTACTGGGGGCGGGGGGAGGTCGTGTCATCTCGAGGCTTCAATGAGAGTCTCCCCATATCGGGAGGTGGAGGTCTTTCACCTCCATCTCCCAGTATTTCTAATTTTTATGTTACTCATTTCAATGTTTCCTGACCATGCCCTTAGAGGCAGGTTCAGAGGTCAGCAGTGGAATCCCGCAGTCACATCCTTCCGCATCTGACGGCCTGAGGACTACAGTGGACGTGGCCCGAGATGAGCAGGGGCATCGGAAAGTGACAGTGGCTGATACAAAAGTAAGGAAGGGTTCCTTAGAGCCCTACATGGAGATGCAGGTTTCCTGAACTTGATCATGTAAGGTTTGAGGCAGGTCCTAAGGAGGAAAGAGAGGTGGAAAACAAGAGATAAGAGGTATGCTGGGAAGGCTCTACTTTGTGAACTCGGGTGGCTTAGCCACTCCTAGGGCTTCTGCACTACTTGTATTTCCATCTCCCTTTGCCAATCTTTATCAAATGCAACAAAATACCAGCAAAATAGGCACTATTGAAGAACGGAGTTTTGGCTAGCTTACAATACTGGATACCAAAAGTCTAAAGATAGTGAAGGAAGCATGACAAACGCTGAGAATCCCTGAAAAGATCACTTCTTCCAAGAGAGGGGCTTGCAGTGGAGGGTGGCTCACTCTTCTGCAGTAGCAATAAGCCTTTCTTCGGAATTAACTTAGGACTTTTCACAGTCACTTTGGTCACTTCCAAGGCCATTGTCCACAGTGACCTAAGGGCTTGCCAAAAAGGCGCTGTATGCTAAAGGTCAGGAATGTCTCCCATATCACCAAACTGGGAGCAAATTCCCATTGTAGGGACATTTGTAACCCAAACTAAACAAACTCAAACAGTACCTGTCATCCATTATCCAGCCACCAGCCAGCAATCCATGCGTTCATCTATCCACTCATCCCAGATCAGGCATCCAGCCTTCTCATTCATCTGCTTCCTGGTCTGTCTTACAGCCAGGTGAGGCAGTGTGACTGACTTCCAGCCTTGAGATAGTTGACAAGGTCAGAGACCTTAGATTTCAAAAAATATTTGATGGGTGAAGTACTGTCTCCATAGTTAAAAGCACTTGCTATTGCAGCAATCCCTGGAAAACCTCACAACCTTCTTTAACTCCTGTTTGAAGGGATCTGACTCCACCTTCTGGCTTCTACAGGCACTGCATACACATGGTTCACATACAGGCTTACAGAAACAATGCGCATAGAATAAAAAAACTTTTTAAATTTATTATTTAAATTGTGTGCGTGTGTGTGTGTATGTGTGTGTGTTTACACAGGCATGAGTGTACAAATTCTTGGCAGCCAGAGTCATCAGATCCTTCTGGAGCTGGAATTAGGAGTGTGGTTGCTGCCTGAAGTACATGCAAGAAACTAAACTTGGTTCCTCTGCAAAAGCAGTGTATCTGTTCTAAACTACAGGGCCATCTCTCCAGCACCCCAGAGCCAGAGCATTCTTTTTGGTTCATTCTTTATATTTTCCTGTTGGAATGGAAATGTAAAGGCTGGAGTCAAAATACCTTTTGTGGACAAGACCTAGAGGTCAATAGAAAGAGCTGGGATACTAGAGCATGACGGTGGAAATGGCCTGTGCTGTGTTTTACGAGCTTTCCAATAACTCCAGCCAGAAGTTCCAAGTCTGATGAGGGCACAGTTCTCCACCCAAAGCCTTACAATAAAAAGGCCAGCCCTTTCTCCCTGTCCTCAAGAGTGGCATCCAGATGTAAGAGAGACGGCTGTCACTCTCCTACTCCTGCTCCCTCTCTTTGGCATTCTAGCCGCCTGTCTGCGCAGCAGTTCAACCTGACCCAACTGGGATTTTCTACAATTATCTTTCTGGGTAAGATTTTTTTTTTAACTACACAACACGTTTTAAATGATATATGAAGTATGAGGGCAAATATGATGGCCAAAATATTCTAGTCAGAGGAATCAGAAAATATGTTTTCAACCATTGCAGAATAATTCAATCTGGGTTTCAAATGTCATACATCCCTCCCTGGATCTTGATCTTGATATGGTCTTAAGTCCAGAGCCCCAGAGGCACCAAATTCAGCTATCCTCAGTTCCGCAAGCTTTGAAGAAATGTTGAGACATGGGCTGGTATGTCAGAGGCCACTCCGCCAGAAATCAGCTGGGGGTACCCTGGGAGGGGGCCACTGAGGCTAAGGAAATGTTAGATTGAGAGAAATGAAGACTGAAACATAGGATAGACTTGGAGGACTAAAAGCCAATACCAAACAGCCCCGAGTTTATTTCTCAGTTTCTGAGTTTATATACTACAGGACAAAGACTGAACAAAGAGAAGTAAGTCAGCTGACCACCTCCCTGCACTGTCCTTGAAAGGAAGTTCATCATCTTATTCAGTTAAGCAGCTTTTATTCTCTAACGAGGAGTGCTGTGCCTGTCATATACCAGCCCAAATCTTAATAGAAAAAAAAAATGTGCTCTTTTTGGAAAGGGCAAAAATGCACTTTCTAAGAGCTAATACAGATGTTACTCATAGCCCTCAAGGTTAATGGAAAAAGCAGAGCAGGCAAGGAGGTTTGAACTCAAATGACCTCTTTAAGTCAGAAATGACTCCAGATGGAAACTGAGTCACACATGGGCTCCCACATTGGTACAAGTTCATCCTCAAGAACAACTCCTGATGCGCACTTAGTCCCCCAAAGAAGCAGAAAGAAGCATGTTATAGTGCAACAAGTCCTTTGTGCAGCTGAAAAATCCAAGGGTTTAGAATTGCTGATCTCAAAGGGTAGAGTGGGAGGACACACTGCAGGCGTCCTAGCTCTGGCCTTCATCACAATAGGTTTCAGAGAAGCAGGAGCCTCTCCTGACCCAACTAGGAATCCTGGGCTGCTCCGTCTCCTCTGTGTCCCATATTCTGCCCCTTCCCTCTCCCCTCTCCTCGGAGTTTCCCTGTCCGTTTGTCCTCCATGTTTCACTCTGTCTTCTGATTTCCTGTCTCCTGTGTCTCGCGGTCTGTCCTCTTGGAGCTGAGTCTCGGCGTACTGCACAGTTGTGCTGTAGCGCTACAACTCATTTCTCTCGAATAAGAAGTCCCCGAGTTGCTGTTCACCTCAGTCCTGAAGTAACCCAGCACATGAGACCTGGGTCTGGAAGTGACACCTGTTAACTTACTTTGAGCAGCTCATACCCCACCCTGTCAAAGCACAACCCCACCCCGAATGGCAGGCATAGAAGAGCAATGGGTAGACAGGGTGGCCAAGCATGACAGCAGAAATTGTCTTCAAACCATTCCCAACTGCAAGTGTTCCTCTCTGTCCCGCCCGCTCCCTCCTAACCCACAGGATCAACCCTAGGAAAGGCAGGATTTCACTGTTTTGCAGTTGGTCCTAGATAGCGGGACTGATGAGAGTTTACAGCAAGCCTGGGCTATGTAACTGGGAGAGGAGGTCAGTTTTGTGCCTCCGGCTTAATAGTATTTATCCCGGGAAAAGCCCTGTAAACCTAAAGTCCGTCCTTTTCTAGTTCACTCCTATAAAATATAAGATTGCCACAGGCACAGTGGAGAATAAGTTCTTTTCCTGATTTGAGTCAAACTATACATAAATCCATTTTCCTTAACCAATTTCTGTTTCATTCCTTTTGTAATACAGCAAAGTTAAAAAGCAGGGAAGGTGAACCTAAATGCCATGTAACAGTTGTGCCAAGGGGCAGAAAATGCCAGGGCTGGGAGTGGCGGGAGCAGGGATGCAAGTGGGTGTGGGTATTGAGGGGGATGTCGGCTCTGGCTGACCACTCCTCTACTAATGCTGCCATCTCTCCTTTCCAGTTCTGGGGCGCAGGGCTCTGTGCCTTCTGCACGGACGGCAGCAATAAGAACCCCTCCTAAATCAGTGTTTCCTTTTTTTTCCTGCTGTTCTTGCCCTTCGACTCTAAAGGCTGGAGTTTCGGTATAACCACATTTACCATTTAACCTCCTTGGTTTCTATTTCTTCAATTTGTAAATAAATACAATTAATAACAAAAATATCAATATTCTCATCAACCCCATATCCTATCCCCTTCTGCTCTGGGTCACTGTCCTGTCTTAGGCCTAGTGTAGTCAATGTATTTCCAATCAGAAGCCATCCATGTTGTACAGCATCATTGTTAGAGGGTCACTGTAAGGATTCTAAAGTAAAGGAAAAACCTTCCTGCAAACTATACTTCAGTTTTGCATATAGGAATCAATATAAGATTAAAATTTTTAAATATTTAAAGTGATAATGAAGTTAAAGCAGTAAAATATAAATTCACAAAACCTTCCAGTGTTCCCTTTTAAATTACCAAATAAATTTTTAAAAAGCAGCATTCCTAGGAAGAGAATATATCAATACACAAAAAAATTCAGAGGCAAAGATGAAGCAAGATCTGTTTGCCTACTGATTTGTCTCTCTAGAAACTTCTGAAATACCTTTGTCACTCAACTACTAAACTATACTGTCCTACCAATTAGTCAGTTAATGCCTAATTTTCTAATTGTTGAAAATACATATAAAAGCATATTGACAAGCTAAGGTGTTTAATCTGCAGCATACTCAAACTGGTCACTTAACATCTCACAAGAATGAAGTCCTAAAATGAGGGTAGGGGACACTCCTGGTCTTTGCTTAAGGCAAGGCATCACATTCAGAAATACTGCTTTATTGCTTAGAATTTCGTCCCCACATTGCAGAAGAGAAAGAATATAACGAAATGAAATAAAGAGCTAATTTAAAAAGACAAATCTCTATTGTGGATGAAGGAAAATTCTAACACCGTGGAATTAATGACAAACAGGCAGGTTGTCGCCTACATTCTAAAGCACTGCAATCCCAGCGCTGAGGTTCAGTAAGAACTGCTTTCTGGGGGCAGTGTGGGCTGGGTTGTGGCCATACCTGAAAAATAATAAGTAGTAACAAAATCAACTTCTATAGGGGCAAAACATTAGAAGGCAAATAAAACATAGGCAGCAAAATGAAGCTAGCATTTTCATCGTAGGAACGTTATTAAAAAGTATGGCCAGCTCTCGGAAGACAGAGGCAGGCAGATCTCTGTGAGTTTGAGGCCAGCCTGGTCTACAAGAGCTAATTCCAGGACAGGTTTCAAAGCTACAGAGAAGCCCTATCTCAATAAATAAATGAATAATAAAGGAAAGAAGGAAGGAAGGAAGGAAGGAAGGAAGGAAGGAAGGAAGGAAGGAAGCATGGCAACAGAAATTCCAGTTACTTTGCTCTGTATAGATCAGATATACAAATCCACAGAAAAATTCGAATTACCAGCAAAGAAAGAGTTTACACTAAAAGCCAATTCTGACTCTACTGTGGGATGCCTTGACTAAGTATAATTTAACTTCTTCATGAACATTCAGGCATTTCACATAAATTAAGCCTGCAGCGACCAAGAAACCGCATCCCCAACACTTATATTGCTAAAGAAAACACGAATTGGAAGTTGTTCCCTTAAAGACTATTTACTTAAGCATTCTTGACTGCCCAGCTGGGAAGCCTGCAACAGTTAACAATGGATTACTGAAATGTTCCCAGCAATCTAACCTTAAAACTGAAAACAATACACAATCTCTAACGCCTAAAACCGACCTAATGTTAAATACAACAAAACTCCTGTTTGGGTGTCACACCAGTCACATTATTAAACCTTTAGAACAAAAGGACTGTTCTCAAGGAACTTCGGTGTCTGTGTACCACCAAAGGAAGAACCCAGTAGACATTCCATTAGAAGCGTAAATGAGGACCAGGTGGAGTGGTCGTGCACGCTTTTAATCCCATCACTCCGGAGCAGACGCGAACGGATCTAAATTCCGTCTAATCTACAGAACTAGTTCCAGGACAGTCAAGACTGTCATACATTGTCTCAAAAAAAAAAAAAAAGTGTAAATGACTTGGACAGTTTTGCTGCAGTCGGACACGACGTCTTTGGCACAGGGCGTTGGAAGAGATGCCGGTACTGCGTGTAGCTCCTTCGGCACGTGTAAATCTACTGAGTAACTCTCCTTGGGGCTGGCTTCTAGAGGTCCTTCTGCGACCTGGTCACCGCCTTCATAGGGAAGGACTTCCAGTCGGGCGCGGACTTCGCGAGTTGAAGTACTGCGAAGAACGGGAACTTTAAAAAAAAGAAAGTGTTTAAAACGCATTGGCAATTTAAACAAGTAGCATGTATCTACAAACGTCACCGACTAACTGTCCAATCAGCGTAAGGTTAGAAGAAAACCATGGTGCCATTTGGTTTGGATTGTTATATTCAGCCAATAAACTCGGTCTCTTTTCGCGCCCTGCGTTACTTTAAATTGTGAAAGCTTCACTGCAATACATATGAACTGTGGAAAGCTGCATTCCTAACGTATGTTTTCAGACGATAATGGTGCACACACTTAAGGACAAGAGGGGGGACATAATCCGTGGTGTGCAGTTTGCCGCCCACTCCTCAGAAAGTCCAAGTACCCATGTCAGTACCAGAACGGTAGAAATACTTTGCCATGAAAAGACCCATCTCTGCAAGTATTTCTAACCTTAGCAATCGAGCCAACAACTGCAGCCAGGTGCCTCGATTCAAAGTCAGGACCGTTTAAAATTTCAAGCCAGTGTGTACAGCTACATTCACCGAGCTCTCTGGGTGGCTCTGAAAAGAGCCTTTGGGGCTTTGTTGCTGTCAGAAGCAAACCTACTTCTTTTTGGGAGCAGCCTTCTTCGCCTTAGCAGCTTTAGGCTTAGCTGTCTTCGGCTTGGCAACTTTAGGCTTAGCTGCTTTGGGCTTCACAGCCTTGGGCTTTGCTGGGCTCTTAGCTGCCTTTTTAGGCTTAGCTGCAGCCTTGGCCTTCTTAGGGCTCTTGGCCACTTTCTTTACTCCAGCCGCCGCAGGCTTCTTTGCTTTCTTTGGAGTTTTCTTGACGGTCTTCTTGGCCCCCGCAGCCTTCTTAGGCTTTTTCGGAGTGGAGCCTGCAGGTTTCTTGGCCTTGGCAGCCCCGGCCTTCTTGGCTTTAGGCTTAGCCTCGCCGGAAGCCGCCTTCTTGTTGAGCTTGAAGGAGCCGGAGGCGCCGGTGCCCTTGGTCTGCACCAGGGTGCCCTTGCTCACCAGACTCTTGAGTCCCAGCTTGATGCGGCTGTTGTTCTTCTCCACATCGTAGCCACCGGCAGCCAAAGCCTTCTTGAGCGCAGCCAGGGACACGCCGCTGCGCTCCTTGGAAGCGGACACAGCCTTAGTTATGAGCTCGGACACCGGAGGGCCGGTAGCCTTGCGCTTAGCAGCGCCAGCCTTTTTTGTCGGCTTCTTCTTGGCGGGAGACTTCTCCACTGGAGCTGGTGCAGCAGTCTCGGCGGGAGCAGTTTCGGACATGGCGAGAATATAAGATGCTAGCAAAGTAAAGAAAACCTAACTCAAAGAGCAAATTTTGCAATGCTCCTTAGCTCAGGCTCCGGGCTTATATAAGGCAGAGCTGGGCTGTGATTGGTGGAGTGTCCAATCCACCGCCCTCTGGCCGCCGCGACTGAAGGCTACAATCCCAAATTGTGTTTGTTAGTCCCCAAATTTTTACTTACTGCTGAAAATAATGGCACAGAAATTGGCAATTTGGAGTTCTAAAGGAGAACAGCCTTCGGGTTCACATACCTGTGTGTGCTTTTTTGAATCACACTCAACTGAGCAAAGATATTTTTAAAAATCCCTCCAATGTTCACGAAGAATCCACTAAGCAGAAGGTATCCTCATAGTTACTTGCGTATTTTATTAAACTTAAACGAAGTAGACAAGGAACATTATTTAAAAGGATTTGTCTACAAGTTCTGCCTTTAATTTTTGCAAGTGTAAAAGTAATAGATTTTTTGGTTTGAGCACAAACTTTGTTTCTGACTGTAGCAAATAACACAGGTACCGGATGGGCTACAGACTGAAGTTAACCATGGTAGATGTTTCTCTATAAAATGGCTCAGGCTCCTGGTGCTTTGCACACATTGATATCTTTAATGGAGAATGCAATTTTCAATTGTGAAAGTTTTTTCTTTGAAGTAGGAAGATTAAAAGTCACTGACTTTAGGAGTGGTGGAAATGGCTTGGCAGTTAAGAGCATTTGCAGCTCAGGGAAATCTGCATTTGTTTCCTAACACACAAAGGCACCCAACTGTCTCTAATGCCGGCCCCAGGGGATCTCAGGCTTCCTTATAGGTCTCCCGATATCAGGCCTGTAAGTGCTGAACATATATATATACAGGTAGGCGAAACCTCATAGACAAAGCTTTAAAAAGTAACTCAAACATTCAAAAACAGATCACTGACTTCAGAGACTAACCTAATTAATTCTGAGTCAAAATAAATTAGATATGAATCTGACTGGGTTATTGTCACTTATTAGTGATATATAAAGACAGAAAGCACAAAAAATAATTTACATTAGGAAAATTCTAGAATATTCAGAAAATTATTTGGGTGACCCTACAGCCCTCAAATGCAGTTGGATGAGATGGCCAGTGAGAATTTGAAAACATTGAGCAAACAGGCATGCTCTTAAGTAAATAGTCAATGCCAATATAGGGTTTGGGGAGGGGGGTGTACATGTTCAGATGCCAAGCAGAACAATATATTAGATTATTATTAAGGGGCCAACAGTTATAAAGTTTCAAAGAATTTGAGAAGAATAAAACAAGGTAAAGAGAAAGGGTGTGGTGAAGTTTGCTATATGGGAAAAGTGAAGCTTTGTTAGGGGAGAGGTGAGACTATGGTGGGGAAAGATGTGCAGTTCTGTACTTATTAATTTATGACATCATCAGATGGGTTTAGATGTGAAATAACAAAGGGTACTGTTTTATTTTAAAAAAGAAAAATGCAGTTTCTTTTGACAGTTACAGCCTTGATCCAGGTTTACCAGCGCATGCCGATAAACCTACAAAAAATCTTGCAACTGAGGTAAGATAAAGATGACAAGGTCTTTTGTTGCTACATCTTCAGGTAATTCCAACATTGAACAATAAGCTTCCTGAGAACTTACCTCAAAAAAAAGTAAAATAAAACAACTGCCTGACCAATACAGACATAAACAAGGACGCAAGAGACGCCAAGATCTATTTTTGCTACAAATGACCTGGAAATGGTGTACAAAATAGCAAAATTTACATAGTAAATTGTATGACTCTCAAAGTAGGAAGTTCTTTAACCCTAAAAAAATAAAAAATGTCAAAGATAGTGTGTTACTTTGAAAACAAGTTTGCTTCTTCACTGAACACCAGGCTAATTAAATAGGCCAGGTTAGCACTAGAGACCAAGATTATCAACAATTCCAGGAAAGCCAGATCTAAAGTAAAGAAATGTATGAAGTTTTAACTACTAAACTACTAAAATTCCAGCTCTTCGGAACACAATGCAGAACAAGTGAACGGTATTTTGCTTTAATAACATCAACAGGGAGTTAGAGGACATACTGGCTTTCTATGGGGGTAAATGGGAAACCATGGGGAAAACAAAAAAAAAAGCACATGAACTTCGCGTTTAAAGGAAACCTAGAAGGGGATTTAGCTACTGAAACGGGAAGCCCACGATATAGTAAACATTCCAGTGCTTACTCGATACTATATATATCTTCGTATATAACTTATTAAGAGTGGCTGGATTAAGTCTCACCATGTGAACTCACAATTGTAAAAGTAACAGCTCGATTTTAGTGAAAAAGGAGGGGCTCTGAAAAGAGCCTTTTGCAGAATTAAGACAACCAGGAAATTTAAGCCCTCTCCCCGCGGATGCGGCGGGCCAGCTGGATGTCCTTGGGCATGATGGTGACTCGCTTGGCGTGGATGGCGCACAGGTTGGTGTCCTCAAACAGACCCACCAGGTAGGCCTCGCAGGCCTCCTGCAGAGCCATAACGGCCGAGCTCTGGAAGCGCAGGTCGGTCTTGAAGTCCTGCGCGATCTCGCGCACCAGCCGCTGGAACGGCAGCTTGCGGATCAGCAGCTCGGTCGACTTCTGGTAGCGCCGGATCTCGCGCAGCGCCACGGTGCCGGGCCGGTAGCGGTGGGGCTTCTTCACGCCGCCGGTGGCCGGGGCGCTCTTGCGGGCGGCCTTGGTGGCCAGCTGCTTGCGCGGGGCCTTGCCGCCGGTGGACTTGCGAGCAGTCTGCTTGGTACGAGCCATTTCAAAAGGCAAAAGGAGCGCAAGGAGTAGACTGCCCGAAAAATCCTATGTTTATATAACGGCTCTCCCTGTTGGATTGGACAGCAAACTGCTGACATCATACATCCAGACAAGGGATTGGTCCGCGTTGAAACCCAGTACTAGAAGGGAACTCGTCGCCTACATTTTCTTCTAAATGTACAAATTTCATTTTTAACGTAACAATTACTCTAGCATATCCCAGGAATTATGATCACAAAAAAAGTTCCTTTGAAAAAAGTCAAAGTATGGTTTTATTGCTTAAATAAAGGAGTCATTTGGGGCACAAATTTAATGAAAAACTTGAAAGGAAAATTGGCAAGAAATTACTAATTCCTGTTGTCATCCACACCTCTCACACTTGATCGCACGCAAGAACGGCACCAACAGTTATATCCCAGGAAACTGTCATAAATTACAGTTCATGCTGCCTTTCTCGCAACTGTTGCAGTTTTGGCGCGAAAACATTCAAAATGGTGAACCAGCAACTTCCTGTATTTACAAACCCCGAGGGCATTGAGATTTAACTCGGGACACTGGCTTGTGATCGGCACTCGTTTACTAGTTACAAAGTTACACGGTTCAAGGTGTAAGGAAACCCCGAAATTATTCAGAGACAGCAGCCTATACAGAAATTTATGCTGCCCTGCTGCGCCAGATGGCAGGTTTGGTGATAATCCTGTGTATTGTGTAGGACTTTGGCGTTTAGCACGGGCTTTACCCAGGTCCTTCTCTCTTTTAATGTGGACATATTTGCCAGATACAAAAGACAATAAGGTCAGGCTGTTATTTTATAAACAGGTTTTTTTTTTATCTGATAGGGAACACTTTGTGCCACCAACATTTATTCAATATTTACCAAAGAACTTTATCAGAATTTTCAGAAAATAAGAAAGCACTGTGCTGGAACCCCAGATTCTCTTGCGGTCTATCAGGGAAATCTCTCCAGCCACGTCACCTTTGGAGCTACTCACTGCTAGTAGGCCACCCCGGCTTTGGAGTCAGGCTCCCAGCCTGCTTCGCTCACAGCAGAGATACAATAGTCTCGTGGCTGATAGGTTTGAGACTCTCAGTTCTGATCGAGTTATTTCTGACGTCTGGCGTGCAGAGCGCTTTCTTTCTAACGGGAGCCAAACAGCCTGAAGAGTGGACGGCTGCGGTGGGTGCAGGGTTACGGGAGATTACATGCGGCTTACCCCCAATTGCCAAACGTACTTCTTGTCTTTGCTCCATGTATAAATATTTCATGAAGAGGGATTGAAACCCCAGTCGCCTGCTGCTTTCAATCCCTTTGTTTCTCTCAGACTTGCCACCTTTCCGGTGAGAAGTGATTCATGTTTTCTTCATTCCGAAATCTTCCAAGAAGCAGGGCTCTTGCTCTGTATTTCCTTGCAGTGTGTAGAGATATAAAAGTGCTGTTCAGACCTCACTCCCATCCCCTTTCTCTACCTGTGGAAAGCAACTGCACCCAGACGGCCTCTCCTTTACATTTACAAATAAGAGAACGAATGACTAAAGATGGCTTTCTCAAAGGAAAACCGAAAAGGTAAGAGTCCTGCTTGGTTCCCAAGATTCAAGCTGTTTGGCCTGGTCCTAACTTTCACAGCAAATGAGTTGTCTCCCACCCACCTCCTCCTCTTATCTTCAGTGTCAGTGACCGTTTGACTATAAAATGTGTCAACACATTGATAACTCTTGGGGAAAAAAATGTCACATTGAATCTTAACGAGGCAGTTTGTCTAAGTATATTTTGAAGTGTGATTTGCACATACAAAACAATACACACTCATGTTCTTTAAATGAGTATTTTTCGTGGAGTTACTAGTTTGTAAGTGATTGGTTTCGGTATCTTGTGGGAAAGGTTCAACAATCCCCTTTCCTTGCAAGAACTACTTTAAAACCAAGAAGCATTCCATATGTGGAAATAAGAAAAGCCCTGGGAGCACTATTTGAATTTCTGAAAAAAGAAATTGTGGGTCTGATTTTCTCTGTAATGAAAGTTCAAAACAAAAATAAAAATAAAAAAGTAAAAAAATATCCTCTACCTTAATGTTCAGTGCCTGGGGCCTTGAAATTAACCTGGCAAAAGGCACGTTGACAGGGAAATTATTTACTTTATCAAATATACAAAGAAAAGTTTTGCAGCAAGCCCAGAAAAGTCAACCATAAAACGTATCAGCTATTCTAGGGAGATGGGAAGTTACTATGTGGGACGGTAAATACAGGAGTAAACTTCTAACAGGAAAGGCAACCTCATGGAAATCCCTGGGAACATGATGTCCTGATATGTAAGGGCCGGCAACTTAGGAACATTTCCATTTATGAACTTTTAAAGAAAAGGGAAACTTCTACCTACCAAGTGTTTCCCAATCAGTGTTCACTGTTTTAGCTTCAATTTATCCTTATATCTAAATAATATACTTAAGGTCAAATACTAAGTACCCTGCCCAAGGTATTTTGAAAGGTTGTGGTGACCATGGCTTATTTTGGTAATCCTCTCTGATTAGAGGTTCAGAGATCAGTACTGAAAGAGAGTGGAGGACCTGAGAAAGAAGTCCCTGGCATTCCACCATCCTGTCTTTTCTCCCAAATCTAGTTACCAGACAGAATTGCTCAACACAGCAGGAAGCAGAAACTAAAGTCAGAGTCGGCAAAAGCGGGACATTGGTGTAAGGAAGTTCATACTTTTCTTTCTCCTTTGCAACGCCCCATTCCATACCTGTGAACGTGGACCGACAGGCCTTACTTGCAGCAATTCTCCTTTGCACTGCTAGCACTGGTCAAATATGAATGGAGCAGCATTCCCTCCAAACCTCCAGTCTATTTCGTATCATTTACTTTAAACACATACACACAAACACCCAAATATTTTCGCCGTGAGAACCTTGAATTTCAAATCGTCTGGTGACTATGCTGTGTGTCAAATACATGCACATAAATCCTGCCGACTTGATACCTTGATACCTTAATCTTTCAGATGGCCTAGTGAGTTATCGAAGTTTTGAGCTGCATGTCACTGTTGGCAACTTTAGAATTGTAGGTTAGAGAAATCTAATCGCTGGGACTTGCCATTCCTTTGTCATCGGAGGTTATTAACTACATCCTACTTTAAGGGAAAGTAAAACTACTTTCTGATGATAGGTTCTGTAGTACAATATTCAATATGTATTAATACAAGTTGCTAATGCTAGCACGCTTAGTGGAATCAGCCTCTCTACTGAGAAATGTGGTGGCTCTGAAAAGAGCCTTTGGGGAAGAACACGCCAGAGGAATCTTAAGCCCTCTCTCCGCGAATGCGGCGGGCCAGCTGGATGTCCTTGGGCATGATGGTGACTCGCTT